AACTTATGTCACCACATATTTCAATCATTGCTCACTCGAGCGAAATTACCAATCGCTTGAGCGAAAAAACACCCGAGATTACCCATTAGTTTCACATCTCCTCGCTCAAGCGAAGGATGTCTCGCTTGAGCGAGAGCACTTCTCGCTCGAACGAATTTAAACCCCACAAAACCCTTAAGTTCCAGGTACTCTCGCTCAAGCGATTCATTTCTCGCTTGAGCGAAAGAAACGTGAATAATAAACAATGTTACTTTCGTAAATAATATTCTTGATATGATATTTTAGAAAATATTTTTTAAAACTATGAAAAAAAGTCTAAAATCATATAGATAAATCTTCTATGATGTTACTTATACATAAAAGAAATCTAAGACAAAATACAGACTATAGAAACGAAGGCGATGAAATTCGAGTATCATTGATCACATTTTTTTTGTTTCATAAGATGTATTACTTAAAAAAAACTGAGATTAATTACTTGAATATTTGTAGTGAATATAAGATTTTAAGTTAATAGAGATAATTTATTTTTTAAATTAAATGATATATTTATACATTCTTAATTATATATACAAGTCTATATCATAAAATAATGATCACCAAATTTAAATATATAAAATTAGAAAAATAAAATAAAAAATTTTCAGAAATACAATAATAATTTTAATAAAATTCGAATGTATATATATATATATATATATATATATATATATATATATATATATATATATAGATTGATTCATAAAGCTGAAGGTAAGTACATAAAATTAAATGTTTTGGTTGGAATTCTAGTATCTACAATACAACTGTTTTCTTTAGAACAATAATTAATTTACCTTTTCATTAATTAAAAGTATAAAAGTTCTATATGTTTATTTAAGATTCTTGTGTAGAAATACTCTACTTATAAATTGATCACCAACCATGACTATAAACAGGAAAGTAGAAACCAGAAAAGTGTGGGCTCCATTTTACACTTAGAAATCCCACCATCCAACTATAAACCCAGCAAGTGGCAAAAATAAAAACTTTATATTAATTTTTTTGTTACCCTTATATCATTATTGTTACAATTTGATATTATATTATTCTCTATCTTTTTCTTTCTGGCTGGGATGTCAATGAATGAATCCACCATTTTTACCCATTAAACTACATTTAATTTTGGAAGAGCGTGCAGAAAAGATAGCACGCCAAGGAAATGTGACGTGGATGCTTTCTATAATTTGTCTTGAACTTAAAAATATTCATGTAGTAGACACAAGTTGAAGGCGGTTGCTCTTGCACACCACTTTCCAAGTTCCAATCCTCACTCATCATCAGACCATGTTTGGCACTTTCCAGATACTCTTCCTCCTCTTCATCTCCACCTTCTCCCTCTTCTTCTCTCCAATTCACCCCCTTTTCTTCAACATAACCAACTTTGACGATCCCACAACCTCGTCAGACATATCCTACGAGGGTGATGGAAGATCAACCAACGGCTCCATTGATCTCAACAAAGTTAGCTACTTTTTCCGTGTTGGAAGGGCTCTCTACTCCAAACCCCTCCACCTGTGGGACCCATCTTCCGATGTTGTCACCGACTTTGTCACGCGCTTCACCTTCTCCATTGACAGAGTGAACAAGACTGAGACCAATTACGCCGATGGCTTCGCGTTTTACCTGGCCCCTCTTGGCTACCAGATCCCACCAAATTCCGCAGGGGCCACCTTCGCCTTATTCAACGCCACCACCAATAGTAACCTCCCTCAAAACCATGTTTTTGCTGTGGAGTTTGACACATTTATTGGCTCCACTGACCCCCCAATGAAACATGTTGGCGTAGACGACAACTCGTTAACCTCTGTGGCCTTTGCCAACTTTGACATCGACAACAACCTCGGAAAAATGTGCCACACTTTGATCACCTACACCGCCTCCACTCAAACCCTCTTTGTTTCTTGGTCCTTCAAAGGAAAACCGACCTCGAAGGACAGCAACAACAATTCTTCTTTGTCTTACCAGATCGACCTCAAGAAAATTCTCCCAGAGTGGGTCAACATTGGTTTCTCCGCCTCAACTGGACTTTTCACTGAACACAATGTTATTTATTCGTGGGAGTTCAATTCCAATTTGAACGACTCCTCCGTGGATGCCGAGAGTGTTAAACTAAAACACAAAGGGCCAAAGCTTGTGTTAATCGTTGCCATTCTCTGTCCACTGGTTCTTCTGTTTGTGGCGGCCGGTGTTGTTGTTTTTATGTTGATAAGTAAAAAGAGAAGAAGGGATGATTGTATGTTATATGATGCTGGTGACGATGAGCTTGGTCCAAAGTCGGTTAAGTTTGATTTGGACAGAGGAACTATCCCAAGAAGATTCGAGTACAAAGAACTAGCGGATGCCACTAACGGTTTTTCAGATGATAGAAGGCTTGGACAAGGAGCTTCGGGGCAGGTTTACAAGGGTGTGTTGAGTTACCTAGGAAGAGTTGTGGCCGTGAAGAGAATCTTTGCAGACTTCGAGAATTCAGAGAGAGTTTTCATCAACGAGGTTAGAATAATAAGCCGTTTGATTCACAAAAACTTAGTCCAGTTCATAGGGTGGTGTCACGAAGAAGGAGAATTTCTGTTGGTTTTCGAATACATGCAAAACGGAAGCCTCGACACTCATTTGTTTGGAAACAAGAGGATGTTGGAGTGGCATGTGAGGTACAAGATCGCATTAGGTGTTGTAACTGCACTTCAATATCTTCATGAGGACGCAGAACAATGTGTGCTACACAGAGACATAAAATCAGCGAATGTGTTGTTGGACATGGAATTTAACACCAAGATGGGGGATTTTGGCATGGCCAAATTGGTGGATCCAAGGCTGAGAACTCAACGAACTGGGGTGGTTGGAACTTACGGTTACTTAGCACCTGAATATGTTACAGGAGGAAGAGCTAGTAGAGAATCAGATATGTACAGTTTTGGAGTGGTGGCATTGGAGATAGCAAGTGGGAGGAGGACTTACCAAGATGGGGAGTTTCATGTTTCTTTGATGAACTGGGTGTGGCAGCTTTATGTGGAAGGGGAAGTTCTGAGGGCTGCAGATGAGAAACTGAGGAACGATTTTGATGTGAATGAGATGAGGAGTTTGCTTGTGGTGGGGTTGTGGTGCACAAACCCTAATGATAAGGAGAGGCCTAAGGCTGCACAAGTGATCAAGGTTTTGCAGCTTGAAGCACCCTTGCCAGTGCTTCCACTTGATATGTATGAACATGCTCCTCCCATGCAAGTGGTTAGGATGCCTCATCATCAGAATAATCATTCAGGCCAATCACCTCCCATTACTAACAGTCTTGTGAGTGTTGGAAGGTGATTTGTTGAGGGCATATGTTTGTTTTTCAATAGATGTGGTTTTTGGTTTGGATTGGTTTGTTTATGCATGTTAGTTTGATTCATTTTTGTGTAGATAAGATACTTTTCATGAAGTCTTTATTCATAAATGTAAATCTATTTTGCATTGGTAGACATCACAAATCCATGAAACACAACAAATTAATTTCTGTTCATTTTGAGTATTAACAAGTGGATTTGACATTAAGTTGAATGAATTAAGAAATTAGAAAAAAGGGTTTGACTGATAATTTGACCTTGGTGCAACTTTATAAAATTATTTTTGATTGGACACCATTTATGAATATTTTATTGCAAGTGGCTCTGGGTTCATTGCATGATTCGTGCACACTTAGCTGGCTATCTACTCTTTACCAAAAAAACAAAATCTACCACCTTCCTTTTCCATCATCCATCTATATAAGATGACACAGAGATATTTCTAATATATAGTTTATTTATTTATTAATAACTTATGGTTTATAAATTCAAATCAAATTACTAATTTATTTATTAAATTTTTGTTATCATATAAATATTTTTCTTTTTTCTTTTTACAATGTCATATCAACATGTTCTAATAAAGATTTTTTACTATTAACTATTGCATTTATGATTTGACCAAGATCTATGCATTAGAGTGTTCTGAGAAGTTTTTATCTAAGTTTAGATGAATTTAAATTCTTATTCTAACTATTTTACTTACAAAAATACGTAGTTAACGGTTTAAAGCTTTTTCTATTAAAACCAATTTTCCCTTGAGTGTCTTTTGTTAACGTTTGTTATAAATTGTTTAATAAATTATAAATGGATGGGACATATAGTTTGTTTTCTCCTTAAAAATTTGAGACTAATAAAAAATGAATTTGATAAATTGTCTTTTTGGTTAATAATTGGTAGAGAAAAAGGATATTTTATAAGTGCCCACATGCAATCCCTCTCCACTTGCAATACTAAAATTATTTGGGGTTAGAATTATTAATGGGGCCAAAACAATTTCTTTTAAGAATAATAACAAATAAAGTTGCAGTTTATTAAATAATTTATCTATCACATCCATTTGTAGTTTATTAAAAAATTTATCACAAAAGTAAACAAAATACACACAATGAATTATTCCGACATGATCTTAATTAGGGTTTTAAATTTAAGACTACATTTATAAGAAATCTTCATGCTGAAATGACATAGTGATTTAAGTTAAGCTTTCATTACGAATTAAGTTAAGGAATGATTACCCATACACTGGATTAAGGTGCAAACAAAATTGTAATATATAGATCAGTGAAATCGTTTAAGAAGTCTAAACTTCTGCATCAATTCATGGATCCAAAGATCATGCAAAATCATATTTAAGATCTGTTTATAATTCAAATAACAATTGTCTAAAAATTTTGATACAAGTATTTCCTAAATATGGGACACTGAGATTGATGCATATGAAGTATAGATATCCTGTCACCAATTAATGATCATTATGGAATCCCTCATACTCCTAATTTGCTTAAGATATGTTTTCTCAAAATCATTAAATTTGTTATTCTTTTCTCATTAAATGCAAACAAATTGCTATACTAGCTTGGTAATTCCCTTAGTTTGGAACTGAGAAGGCAAAAGAATGTTTTAATTTTCATTCTACTATTTACCATCAACACTGTGTACAAGGGACATCAATTCAACATTTTTGGTGTCTTGAGTGTCAATAGCCACCTTGGAATCCATGATTTCACTTGTTGGAATAATGGAGGAGTTGGGGTCAGCTCTAGGAACCAAAAACAGCAGCCAAAGTGGAGTGATCCTTAAGATGTTCCTGATCAAAATAGCCAACCAAATATTGTCAAACCTTGTTCTTGTGATCCTTAGAATGTGGAGAACAAAGCCACCACCCCATGATGCTGAGAGAAGTCCAACATTATCAATTGACATTAGGAGAGCAAAGAAGGTGCCTTCAATGCCTGAGGGACACAGCTTTGAGCTAAGCACAAGCATAGGCATCCACTTTAGCCTATTGGTCATTTGAGCAATGCTTTCAACAATCACAACAAAGAAATAATCTGCTATGCCAAATTTCAGGTTCCATCTCAAGACCAAAACCAAATCAAGCATCCCTGACAAAGCATATATCAACTGAGTCCAGAAGAGCAAGTTCCTGAATGCATATTCCTTTAGAGCATACTGATATAGGATTGCACCTAAAAGGGCCCCCACTGAACTAATTGAAAATATAAAACCAACACTCTCCTGTGTTGTGTATGAAAAATGGAAGATAAATGTCAATCGATTACATTTATTACTACTATACAATATAATATAATGATAACAGTAAAATGAAATTAAGAGCATTTAATTAAACATGGTAAAACAATGCTACAATTACTCACAAGGGTTCATATGTGCTACCTAGAGAAGACACTTTTGGCTAACTTTTTTCTGTTTTTCTGTGCTCTGTTAATGGAGAATAATCATACTAATGTACCAAAGTAAATCTCATTGTTAAGAGGGTGGAGAGAAAGTCTGATATAGTGGTGGAGTAGGTGGAATTTCTTCCTTCACCTTATTATTATTGGAAGCAAAACAAGTGCATAATTATATGTTGAATTTGGAGTCATGTGATTTTTTGTCTTGCATCAAACGAGTGGAGGAAATTATTTCTATTTGCTATGTAAGGTAAGAATTTCAACGTGGGTGGTATTCCCTCTCCTCACCTAGACATGAGACAACATTGACATGTACATCACTTTTACACATCAGACAGGAAGAGTCACGAAACACACATAAAAGGGATGAGAAAATCTACTAAATCTCTTATTAAGGAGTTTTGATAAGTTTCTTTATAAATATTTATTGAAGAAAAAAAATTCTGCTATATAAGATACCTTTATCAAGTTAAAATTAAGTTTTTAAGAATGATTTAATTTCTCCAAAAATTTACTTTAACTAGTAAAAAAAAGCTTGAATAATTTTTTCTTATCTTTTTTTCTTCTGTGAGTACTTCTAAAACAATTTATACAAATGAAATCTAAACATTCCAACTATAACATTGATGAATATATCAACCAAATACCTGAGAGAAAGATGGTCCACCCTTTGAGTCTGTATACCAATAAAACATTCCTTCACGAATATCCAAACTCAATGTAATGGATAAATACATGTATAAACAAGGCTTCCATACATCTTCGCTCTTCAATGTAGTCCACATAGCCTTGCCAGCATCAACAAAATTTTGTTTGACCTAGACACGACATGGAAACTCAGTTTATGCTTATATCAGGACCATGGAATGACATAAACTAGTTATACCTGTGTATAAGATGTGTGGTGCATGCGAGGCTCATAAAGCAGAAAACCAACCAAAATTACTAGTCCAGCTGGGATAGTCATCAAACCAAACACCCCCTATGATGAAAAAGGCTCTCTTAGTAAAAGATAAAACACAAGGAAAATTTTGCATGTTTTAAGGGGGGAAAGGTTTTCAAAGTCTAACCATTGGGCCCATCAAGTGAACAAAGATACCACTAATGAAAAAACCAAATAGTGATCCAACAGAAGAGCTGAAGGCACATAAACTTTGCATGTCAGCTGCAAGTGAGGGATGAGAGATACTGTTCTGTGCCACACAAGCATCAATGGTTACATCTGCTATTGCCACTCCAGCACTACCAGCTGTTAATGACAGAAGGGCCAACACTAGATGCAGGTTTTTATGCAAAGATAACAAAAGCATAGCAATTACTCCTAGGATACCTGAAGCCGTAAAAGAGGGCAAAAAAGTCAGGCTACTATGTTACTGAAGCAATTTCTGAAGCTCTTTAATTCTTACTTGGCATCATTAATATTATAAAGTGAAAAGTTAATCCTCAATAAGAAACTTATTAAATTCTAGTTGTTATAGGATGGATCAATTATCCCGTATCAGAGGTTAATTTGGTCCACTCACAAGTGAATTGTGATGTTTAGGCTATTTCACTCTAAGAAAAAATTGCATTTTATGTATCAACTATAATTTTTTTTTTCTAAAATCCAACCTTTTAATCCAATTTAGTATTAAAACCAAAATCATGAGTTCGATTTTCAGTGTAAAATTGCTTCATTTCCAAGTTCAATGAATGATATGCCAAGAAGCAGTTACTTAGTTGGCATGTGGAAGAACTTTTATGAAGCTTATTCTAACAAGTCTTATTATATAAACCCTTAAGCACATATTTGATTATGCTTACAAAAATTTCTTGAGGCTCTAAGCTCCTTTAAGGGCCTATTTGAACCTTATCCCATTTCAACTAAAGATATGTTAATATGGTCATATGGTCTGCTTAGACCCTATCCACCTACTGCATTTGTCCAGACTCTAAATGTTTAGTCATTCGTGTGAGGGTGTATTTTGATTCCCAACAATGTATCCTAACAAGGCTTCATTGGTCCTTAATGGATTTAGATACCAATTCCTAAATGTGAAAGGGAGTTGTTAATGAGCAACGATACTACATCAACCCCAGTTAAAGTTAATCTATCATTTATTAAGTTAAGACAATCCTCATTTTATATAAGATAATTTTATGGGATTCAATTAGGACTTAAGCCCAAATTTTAAGATGTTATTAAAAGGGTGTTGTTATAAGGTGAGCTGCATTTGTTCACACTCCACACACACACACACACATTATATATATATAGTTTTTATAAGGTTCGGACAATCCTTATCTAACAAAGTCAGATATATTGGGTTATATAGATCCTAAAAATTCTAAGACTCTAAGGAAGAGCCATGAGACGGAATTCATCTACTGATGCTAAAGCAATACTACATATAATGTTTGAATGCGCCTGTCAGGTGGAGTAAGTCATTGACCGATATTCCATAACGTCTTACAAGGTGATGGTGAACCAGTTTTACCAGAAGTATTTTTAAGGAAAAATAAAATAATTTTTTTCAAAAACTAAAACTAGCTTATGTATAAATTAAAAAAATAAAGAATAATATATATATATATATATATATATATATATATAAAGAAATTATATGAGAGATTCTACAGATTAACCCATTCATAACTAATTTAACTTGCAAAAAATTCATTTAATTTTTATTCTTATTTTGTTTCCCTTCAAGTGTTTACTAGGAGAAGTTTATCAAAATTGATATGAGTCATTATATCATAAGTTTCAGCATACAGATTTACCAACCCCAAACTATAAAAGTGTTAAAGCTGACATAATTAATTGTGGTCACAGTGACCTGTCTTAATTGAGAATTCTTTGGGCTGCCTTAATTGCAGCCTTAAGGAAGTTTGTTTAATCCATATGCTGACTAAAAATATGAACAAAAGACTATCCTAATTTGACAGATGTGTTTAGTCTCATTCCAACTAAAGACTGAGCAATCTAATTCATATAAGACTTGGATTGAACAATTTTATTTTATAGCTTAGTTTTGCAAAAGTGAATTAAAGAGTGTAAATCTTAGCATGATATTTAATCTATTCTATGTTGGTGGACACACTCCAAGACCATAATAGTCCTTATCCCCAGTATGTTGTTGGAAAGTTATATCAAAATCTATTCTGATATTACTTTTCTTTTAGTCTAGAGAATCCAAATCCTAGTTTATATAGCTTATATTTACCTATTTAGTACATGTCTGGCTTAAATATATTTAGATTCACTTTTCCAGCCCCTAGAAATGTGAGAAATTTAACTCAACCTTAAATGTTTGTCTACATGAAGATTGTCCAGTCAGATAAGGAATATTTTGACCATATTCCTATCCAATTAGAGACATCTATCATTGCTGAGCTTCCACTCTGTGTGTGGTGCTTAAAAGCTACAGCATTGACAACGTAGCATCCAATTAAGTTATTTCAAACTGATAGAGATCTAGGGAAACATTCAGAAGTAAGGGTGCAAGGAAAAGAAAAGATGCATAATATTTAACAAATTACTAAAATTCCCACCTAAAACAATAATTGATTTGAAATATATGTAACCTATCTGAAACTAGGAAGAACAGAGAAGAAGGGCACAGTGCATTACATACCAGCAAAAATGAAATAAGGTCTCCTGCGATACCCAAAAAATGGGAGAACATCAGTCAGAAGACCCCACAGAGGCTTAACAATCCAAGGAATGGATGTGATTCCTTTATAAACCTGTGCCTCAGATGGCTGCACCTTCTGAACATCTTTCATGTAATACTTAGTGCCAACTTCAGCAAGAGCTCCACCAAGTCCCTGGCTTATTCCATAAATAACCACCACCCCAAATACGAAGCTCCAATGCATTTCCCTACAAAGCATGCTAAACCATTGGACGGGGATGCAAAAACAGTCACAAACCCCCTTCCTGGGTTCATTTTCCTCCACAGATTCACCACATGGGTCTTCCTGATTTTCCTCCTCCTGCATTATCACACCTTTGATGCACCCTTCACAGCAAAGATTAAATCAGCTCGAAAGAAAATCCTCCGAGATTTACTCTATCAACTACACATGCTTGGAATCTAACACTAAAAAGTCAAAGATCAATTTTTTTTCTCTCCGATTTGAATCTCCAACAAATAACGAAGGGATTTTGAAAACCGAAGAGTTAGCTGGAACAGTAGATTGTTGAAAAAAGAAACAACGAAGAAGAATAAAATGAAGGGAAATGAAACCAATACGAGTTCAATGTGTACGATTGGAAATTCACTTCACTTGGTTCCTGCCCTGTGGTTCTGAGTCTGAAGGTGAAATCTTAGAAGAGACTAAAAGTCAAGTCAACATTAACCTTTAAGATAACAGATGGGTATTTTGATTATTCCAGTATCCGACCACTCAAAAGAGAAAACGTCAAATTTACATTTTTTTTCTTCATTTTCCCACTTTCAATGTTTCTCTTCCATTTTTCCTTTTGCTAAGGTTTTGAGCATCCAATCAAAAACAGCAAAACCAAGAAACTTCCTTCAGACTTGACATCTTCTTACCCTCTACTGGTGATATTCTAAAAACTGTAGTCTATGGTAAAAAAAATTGCCCTTGAGAATTCACCACAAATTTATTTATGTCTAATAGTTGAGATCGTGGAGCTACGCCATTGGAGGAGACAGTGAAAGTGGGGCCGACATTGGTAAGATCTTGTTGCCACCTTGGTGACGCCATTGTGAGGTGTTGACTCAACCCAAACTGTCCAAAAGGTTGAAAGGACCTAAGCCAGATCTGATGGTCCATTCCAAACCAAAAGATTCAACTAGGTTTTCTTTCATATAATTTTTCTAGATTATCGAATTAATTTTCAAACATATACAACTTGTTCTTTCTTTCTTTCCTTTTTTTTTTTTTAAATAAAAGTGAACAATGTATCAGTGAAAAATAGTATGCTTAGCATTATTTTTATTTGAATAGCAAAATTATAATTTTTTTATTCTGTTTTGCTTTGTTGTTTTTTTTTTTTCTTTAATTTTCTCTCATTTTTAACTCTTTTTTTTTTTTTTATCCCTTTTCTCATTCTCTTATTTGCCTCTGTGTGGTCTACCGTCAATGTTTGTAATATTATATTATTATATGTGAAGTCCCAATGTGATTAGGTGAGACTATATAGTAAAACAAATATTATTTTTATTTTTAATTAAATATATAAAATAATTATTAATGATTGTAATAATATTTAATGTCACCAGGGATGAACGGATTGGATTCATATTTTTTAAAATTATAATCCGTGACTCAATTGGCGAATAAATAAATTTGATTAAATTGGGTTAAATTTAAATACTAAAAAAATAACCGTAAATTTAAATTCACTTGTATAAAAAAATGGAAATAATATTCATTCTATTTATCATATTAATTTGAGTGGATTAAAATTTTATATAATTAAATAACTTGATCTAATTGAATCAAAATATCATCAGAATAGATTTTGAGTTAGTTCTTTTTATTATTATTATTATTATTATTATTATTATTATTATTATTATTATTATTATTATTATTATTATTATTATTATTATTGGGTGAAAGTCAATTTAATTTGATCTAATTCACCGTTTGACTAATAAATTTTGTATGTTGAAGTTAAAATCTAACCGGTTAAAATTATTAAATAATAATCGTTAAAATGATTAAATTATATTTATTATTTAATTATTTTATTAATTAAATATGTATTTATTAAAATATTATTTTAAAAAATCTAATTTAGTAATGTTATTTAAATTAAAATTAAAAAAAAAAGATTCCTAAAAATCTATAACACAATTAATCTAATTGATCTATCATTTCAATTCAACTTAATCTAAAATATTTTAATTAATTGGAGGATGGATTTAATCTATTCACTTAACTCAACCTGTTTTATCCTTATCCACAATCACATTAGTTTTAATTTGAGTGAATTAAAAATAAAAATAAAAATATCATTTACAATATCACATGTAGTATTAATTATAGGATCATTACATATTATTATATGTGACAATTTTATTACATTAACTTTACATGTAATAAAATTACAATAATTAGGAAGATTTTTTCTAAGTAAACATTTTTATGTTTAATTGTGTCTGTCTACAAAAGTTCATCATATTAAAAATAGGCATAGTATCACAAACGAAATTAATCTTTAAATTAATGAAATTAACGAATCAGTTATAAATTATCTCTGGAACTATGACACTATTTTTTTTAAAGATAAAATTGAAGAGTTATTTTATTCGAATTAGATAAAATTATTGTAAAATATATAGTTTTTTATTTTACGATTTTATATCAACAATAAACAAAGTAGAGTAATTGACATATTCTATATATTTTAATACCTAATTTTATCTATTGAAGATAACTATTTTTTTTTTTACTTGATTAGATGATTACATTACTCCTTATAGAGGGTGGTTCACCTAACTTGGTTTCCCTTTTTTATTATTTTCCCAGAAGTTTCATGTTATTAATAATAGTTATTTTAGGGCCAAGTTGTTGCTAATTAAAGTCTCAGAATATTAGGTAAGCATTAGTAAATTAGTAGAACTAGAGAATCCATGCAAATTGTTCATATGAATACATTATTATGTGCATATTATAATACTATCAAAATAAAGAATTAAAGGTCAAAGGATTCATATAGAGTCTTTAAGTATATAATTGTATATTATATGAGAACGTGTATTTTTTTATTAAAATTGAATAGTTATAATATTTAATGGATTGAATTGAGATGATTAAGATCTCAATAATAATATCAAGTAGATTTCATAATTAGAATATTATATGGAATTAACATCTCTTAAATTAGTATTAATATATATATTAATTAACCGTTGATAATATAATAAAAACAAATTATTAATATTAAATAAGTATCTTTATTATTTAAAATATTTGATAAGAAATTTATAAATTACATTATGACATATACCTGTTACTTATATTTTTATATTTTTAGGTGGACCTTCCTCTTGTTTTAAGAGATGACTAATCCGAGTATTTTGTCAAATATTTATTCGTGACTAAGTTGGATTATTTGAGTTATTAATTTGTGATCAAGATAGGGAGTTTGAGTTGATCAAATTATTTATTTATTTATTTGTATTTCTTTTTTGGCAAAAACATTTTGGCATCCACTAAGGTTGAAAATAGAGTATCGTTTTACTTATATTTCTTAGTCCTCGACTGAGGGACTATGTTTCAGTATGCTAAGGAGTCTTATTTTGCTTAGAAGTCAAGGTCAATAATAGTTTATAGACCCTTATCTCTTAATCCACTGATGTGTATTTTAAGGACAATATCTATTATCATAGTGAACATGAGTCCAAGACACTTTTATTCCTAATAAAACACATGTTATAAACTCGATTAAAATATGCGATTAAAATTACCCGTTTATCATAAAATCTTGTTTTAGAATTTTTTCTTCCATTGGTCCAATATAATTCGTTGGTAGTAAATTAACTTCATCCTTCAATGATAAAAGTAAGAAACATTTTAGGAATGACAAAATGGGTTAAATTCGACGTATCATGTTAGTTCATCTTAAAAAAAGTTTAGCCCATTTTGACCTACTATGTCTAGTCCGTCAACTTGATGGACTAAGGATGGAGCAAGACAGGTTTTGTCTCGGTTTAAAAAAAATATTAAAATTAAAATTAAAATAAAAAATTATGATTAAAATATTATATTTTGTGTGTTATGTTATTAAAATATATAAATATATTATAATATTATAATTTAAATTATAAAAATTAATCAATTTAATTTAAATATATTAATTATAATTAACTATTTTAACATATAAATATAATAATTTTTCTAAGAAAAATATTAATTAATAAATACAAATTTAAAAATTATTCATATAATTAAAAATATATAAAAAAATATTGACAAATTGACCATTAGTTTGTCCCGTAGAAGAGATATTAGGATTTTCTGATTATGATAGATCCTAATGCTCCACACAATTTTCACAAATTTTAAGAAGTTAAAGACAAACTGACCATACTTTTATCCTACAAGATATTAATAAAAGTTAAATTCAATTTCATTATAATCACAAAAATCAAAACATAATTCTTGTAAATCTTTTAAGTGTTTATGTGATTTAGTAAATTTTTAATCTTGTTTATGTATTTTTTATTTATTTATTTGTTTCTTTATTAATTTAATAGTAAAAGATTAAAATAATTTAGAAGAGGTGCTAGATTCTAATTTCATTATCACTATTTTTTGCTTAAAAAACTTTGACATTAATTCCTTACATTTACACGTTCATAAATCAAATTCATTGGATAAAATTTGGACTTCTCACCTTCATAACACATATTTTTAATTTAAATTTATAAAAGTTATTCTATCTTCATCCAATAAGCATGATTAATTCAAAGAGTAAATTTGAAAATTCTTTAACTTTGGCCATTCCAATTCCATAAATAATTCCAAACTAAACTTCAAACTTCTTTTTAAGCATTTTTAGGAAAGAAGAAAAAAGAAAAATAAAATAAAATTAACTTTACATTTATAATTTAAAATTAATTTGAATATAAACTCATTTATAAAATATAATATAATTTCTTTATAAGCTAAATTTAACTTTATTATTTTTCTTATTTAAAAGTACTTATAAAAAATCTCCTCTAAAAATGTCTTCAATATCTGTATGACTATCTATGTGTTTTGCTTTAATCTACATAATATTGAGACCCTGTTTTGCACTGCTTTTTTTATATCCCAAAATCCCCTTCTCTTTTATGTACTTTTTTGACTATCTAACAAGTAGTGGAAGTAATAATGGTGAAGGACACTCAATAATGAATAGTTCCAAAGTTGGAGGGCCATCATTAAATCAAATCATACATAGAAAAAAAAAAAAAAAAAAAAAGTGTATCAGTCTTGAACAGCCATGCTATCAAGTATCATCCTATAGCCCTAATCTGTCCATAGAAGACTAGCACTACTTTTTCTTTTAGTTCACCATTTCTTCATCTTTAAGCATGTTCTTATTAAGCTTTACATTTTTTCTCTTCTTTATGTTTCATGGAGGCCCCATTTGAAGGAACCAGAATTTTTTTTCTCTCTCTGTAATACTTACAGCTTTTTCATTATAGTTATAGCACCTTTTCTTGTATGGTTATTTTCTCCCAATTTTGATTTTTCAAAAGCTTTTTTTCAAAATTAAAATAAAAATATTAACGGCAAGATAATAGTTATTGCAGAAGTATAGATATAGACAAGAGGAGGTAGATGGCAGGTTCTGCACATTAAACACCATCAAATCCTGTATTTATGCTATTTTTACACAAACATGCATTAAGATTTGACCACACTGTGTTAGTAAAGTAAATTCCTAAATAATATCAAATACAGGTAGAAGATAAAAATGCTAGAGTCAGATATAGAGAAATCCATTTCACCCTTTAATTCCAAATTTATCTTGCACGTTTTCAATCTTTAAATCTGTAAAAAGTATCTCCATGTAGTGACATGCTGTCATCTTATTATCAATTAACTATTTTCTTGACTTCAATATAAGATACTATTAATCACAAAGCAGCATTTTTCACTCAACCAGCAAACATAACTTCAAGTTGGAGCGATAATATTCCTCACATCACCTTTCAAAGAAAAAACTTGCCTTCAACAAAGCCCTTCTCTATTGTGCACCAGAAGCAACCCAATTAAGTAATCTGCACTCTCACAATAAAGGCAGACATAATGCCATGTGTATATTGGACATGAGTATTATTACAATGTCCTTGTTAGACACAGGAATTAGAAACAGTCATCAACATAATCTCTTTTATCCCTTTAACTTTCTTTTTCTCCACGCTTCACTTGGTGGAGACTGGAGAGTAACAATGGGTGTTGAACAACTTTTGTTAGCATCAGTTGAAAAGAGTATGTACATGACTACCTGCAATTAAAGAATTTGAATAAGCGTAGTGTGAAAAGTTGTGAAGTAGTCGAGTCTCTTCTGGCTCTTTGATCTTTGTTGCAGTGCTGCCAATGACATGACCACATGCAAAATTCAATTAGAATCAAGTTAGCAACCTGGCATCTCATTTCCATATCCGCGTTTTAGCAGTCCGAACTTTTGAGATGTATATTGCAAATCCATCTTGTTAACTATGAACTGTGATTCTCCAAACCTGAGGGGAAATTGGAAGAAAAATAAATTCCCTCACTGAACATCAAGCTGTCTTATAATGCCATAAACACACATTATAGTCCACTCTTTGAATGTCAAGTAATCAACTTTATAGTCCTCCCCTCTAGCAACAACCAGCAATAGGAAAAAATAGCTCTCTGCCAGGGGAATTGGGTGCTTGACTCGGGTACCCATTTGCTTTATTGTACAGATTTTTCTGCGCATAGAAAATCATGTAACACTGTGAAGCTCTGACTGTAGCCTCATCAACCTCTGTTATCCAAGCATCATCACATTTGTACCATTGATTCCTTATGCGCATGAACGAAACATAATGGCCAGATTCAAGTGTACCGGAATGTGTCACCACAGCAAAAATTTCGAACTCAGAAAACATATCTGATTCATCACCCCCAAAAGAATAAATTCTATTTCCATATCTGGCTCTGAGGATTGAGGAGGACAAATATGGAGACATGTCTAAGGAAAATGGGAAGTGTAGGTAGCGATCTATTTTTCTTGAAGACTTTCTGACAAAAGAGTGCTCAAATCGTTTTACATGTAAACTAAGTACTAATGGAAGCTTTCTGATGGACATTTGCTTCAAAGAGTCCTGCTTTTCCTGACAATTCTGGCAGTAAAGTTTCTGGTCTGACCCCAACTTCTCTGGCCTTGTGAACAAATCTAAACAACCAGAAAGTGTAGACATACTTCCATCCGCATTCCGTTTGGTAAGCTTTTTGCCCTTTTCTTTTGAAGAGACACTGGTGTCCAAGTTAAGTGAAATGTCAACACAAGGATCATAGGTGGTTGAGGTGAATCCACAGGCCATACAAGTAACATCTGATCTCAATAACCCATAGAACACCCTATGAGCAATGCATTGACAGTCTTCATTACCTGTATAAAACAATAACCACGCATCATACATTTGAAAAACAATTGGGCAATGTGAAAGTATAGATTTGCTTCCGGACAATGTTTCCCAGACAGCAAAAATTTCAGAATGAAAATATTTGGTGTTAAAGCTGTTCATGTGTTCACAGGACATAAGCCTCAGCCAGTTACATCATTATTTTTTAATGATATTATTATCTAGAGAAAGTACATCATTCTGATGCCAGGAACAACTGTAACACGGTTGCATTGTGCATGTAGGACTGCATGAAAACACCAAATCAATATTTAATTACCTTTGCTTCCATTCCTTGCTTTGCCCTCTTTCTCATGGATTGCATCTAACATCGAGATGAAAAACTCATGAGCATCCTGCTGCTCATAACTTGCTAAATTTGCTGAATGCTGCCACCAGCTTGAAACAAAAACAAAAAGTTTCACCATTCATAAGAAACAAGAATTTGATCACCAAAGAAACACAATGGATGCAAATCAAAAGTCATAAAAGTTTTCGGTTTCAACTGGCAGGCATTGCTCCAGTTAACTTGCAACTAGATTCATAAGAACAAATTATCAACTTCAGACTTATGCATCAACCAAGGTAGAGCTGATTGACATCATAGTGTTCAAAATGCATGCTTGCTTTTGTCACATAAACCTTCACTGGAGATAATGCCACTTTAGTTACTTCAGTCAGATCAAATTTTATATTTTCATAATACTAATTGACCAGCTCAGGTAATAAATAAATTATCATTTTTTCCTAACCTTTTTTAATATAAGAAAACTCAACATCAACAACAACAGCAAGCTTAATCCCACCATATGAGGTCACATGGATCACACAATGTCAATAGATTCTATCAAAGACCAAATTCTTATTCATACTATTCACCATAATATATCTCATTAGATCCCCGATAAGTGTCAGTCACTATTTTCAGTAGACAAAATCTAAAACCCAATAACATGTGTACGACACAAAGAGAATTGTCAGACCTGTAGAGAAACTGAGCAGGACTATATGGATTCTGATCCCCCGAATATACAGCTGAAAAAATAGTATTGACTTCACAAAGCAAACACATCAGATCTGTGGTTCTTCTAAGATGACAAGATTCCAAGCGGTGTCCACCACTCAGAAAATAGTCCCTGAGAGGAGGTGCCTGAAGCAACACTTGGAGCACTGAACTCATGAAGCACGTGCTACCCAGATTGTTCAACCCCCTCAACCCCATAGGATAACACGATTTAGCTCTCAGATCTTTGGTAGAAACTTCACACTTTGATTTCTGCAAATCTAATCCAATCCCAGAAACCAATCTCCTCCTCTTGGTCAATCTCTGCCCAATGCTTTCATTCCCAGTGACACCACTTGCCACCTCCATTGAGTGCTTAGACATCACAACTTGGTCAAAATCAGGGTCATACAATTGATCACAGCACACCCCACAATAAAGTTCAGCCCTTTCAATGTCCACAAAAACAGTATGGCCAGTTTCTAATTGGGGGTGCAAAAGGGTGTGATTCAAACAAGAAAATGAAGAGCAAGCCAGACACAAATAGAACCTCCCTTCACAGTCATTACAGAAACTGCATCTGGGTACTTTTGTGTTGGGTTTCTTCACAGTGATTTTTCTAATTGGGGAGGTCACAAGGAGTTTTTGGATGACTTTGTAGCCATTGAAACCATGTTTGAGCTTGTACTCAACTAGGTGCTGACAGGGTTCTGGGTTGGTGTATAAAGGGTTTCTTAGAAACATTTCAATTAAGATTAGGTTTAAAAATAAAATAAAAACAAAAAATTTAAATATATGTTTGAAGCATAAGCAGAAGGGTTGTAATGGTCTCTTTATGAATGATGTGATCCAAAAAGAATGATTGAAGATCAACACACAACAAAGACAACAACAACTACTGAAATTGAAAACGTGAATAGAAGTAGACAGGTATTATTCTTGTCAAGAGATGAGCAAGATTCATCACATGACAAAACCTAAAATGAAATGAAATAAAACAACCAAAACCGACTTCAATCCATAGATAGATATCCTTTGAAAAGAAGACCCAGCAGAAATTGTCCGTGAACTTTTACCTTTCTATTAAACAAACAAAATTGAAAATGAAAAAAGAACGGACTAGGAACTTCTTGAGTCATCGGTCATATAACATATAGTATAAAATGATTATATTACAAAAGAAAAAAAACATCATTCTTTTTGGTTAAGATGTTTGTGTTATGTATAATAAGTATAAGATTAGGTTATGTGATAGTAATGTAACAATAAATTAAAAATTAATCTATATTAACTAACACATAATCATAATTAATAACCTTAAATATGAGTTTTAAATAGACATTAATGATAAATATGTAGGGAAAGTATTTACAAAATTATGATTTTATTATAATTATTTACTTGAGAAGAAATTATATTAGTTTTAATAGTGTTCTTGTAAAGTTGAGAACATTATTAGTATTTGTATAATTAATAAAATTAGAACAGAAATTGAGAGTAGAATTCTAGAGGAATCTGAACCGGTGGTTGGAGAAGGTGATGATAGATAGATAGTTCCGTGTGTTTGCTTCTTATTGTTCTTGGTTTTAGGGTAAAAAATTGTTGGTCGCCATCCTGTTTGTGTGCCATTTCTTTCTTGTTTACAGTCACGTGGCTCAGACCAGACCAATTCCTGTTATTTGGGTCGGGTCAATTTAAGGGCCACATTTAAAGGTTAGAAGAGAGAAGTTGGAAAGAAGACAAGTAAAATTATTAAAGGATGAATAAGAAAAAAAACATATTTTGAGTATATTTTATATTTTCTCTTTTATATAATTTTTATAAAATATAAAATGTGTATTGGTGTTCATGCAAAAATTATTTAGTTAATAATAGTTGAATTGGTATAAATTGGGACAAGAAAAATAAAATATAAATACATAATTTTATTATTAAATGATTTAATATTATAAATCAATCTGCTGATTATATGCCAGATTTTAAATAAAGTAGATAATTTTTGTTATGCAATATAGTAACATCTTTCTCCCTAGAATTATCACACAATGACCATGCATACACAAGTTCAAAAAGAGTTGAAAAATCATATAATTTATTCAAGATTCATATCCTACTTGTACAAAACAAATAGACACTAGTCACATAAAACACAAATTTCTTATGTGCATGCACCTCAAACAGTGTCCCTTCACTCCACTCTCTAAGGATAAGATCAAACATAAAAGATTAAAAACACCTCCTTTTTACTGGGACTAGCTACCACTACTTTGGATAACCTAACAGTTTGTTAATCATCTCATCCCATAGTGTAAGAAGCTGCAGGTAAGTTGATTACTGTAGTCTTAACCTTCGTCATCATGTTAATACTGTTGGTGATTCCTTGAGAACCAATTCCACTATCCTTCAGTCCCTGCCATAAATCATACTTGCTTGTTTTCAGGCAGAAAAATATATTATTAAATAAAATTATATGGGGAAGTGATCAAATCTTATTGAATGTCTGTGATAACATTGAATCCCAAACAAACAGTTACTGTTTTACACTAAGAAACAGGTGAAAGGGTTTGTGTGACCCTAATGGCATTTCAATGTGTATAAAAATATTTTACTCAGACAGTATTTATAAATCTTATTACATGTCACTGTCAGTGTTTATAAGCTAAAGTTATCAATTAATGATGCTGTGTGGACATAAGAAAGAGAATTTTTTCTTTGTTTTTTGGTAGAAACATTTGAGTTTGTTTTCTATAAACAGGAAACCTTTTTCTTTGTTTTTTTGTGGAAACCTTTGAATTTGTTTCCTACAAAAAGGTATTTTGTGACTAGTATTATATCCTACAATATTTTTGTGGTAACTTGGCAAATGGAAGGAACATAGTTTACCTGAAAAGGAAAGTGATCAGGTCCACGAGATGGTGCGGAGTTAATTTGAACTGTTCCTGTCTCCATTGCATCACTTATCAGCATTGCCTTGTTAATGTCTTTTGTGAAGACACATCCCTGCAGTATACATAGGATTAAATTAAACAAGGAAAGATACTTTTCTGCCTTGGAATAGATAAAATGGCATTTTAATTTTTGACTGAGAACACATCCAAGATTAAGCTGTGTCACTCAAGTGATCATGAATATGATGAAAACAAATTTAGATTTAAATGGACAAAATCACTTAGCACAGAAGATCACAAGAACATGCTACTTTTGGAAAAAAAATAAAAACTGTTAAAAGTTTCAAACTCATCTAGCAAGTAAAAAATTGATTATAAACTGACTGAAACTTTCTGTTGTGTGTAAGAAAAAGAAAAAAATTAGGGAAATATAAAATGTAGTCATCATTTGAATGCATGCATTCATATTGATGATCTGATACTATACCTGGAGGCCAAAATTGCTAGCATTACAATGGTGAATTCCTTCATCAACAGATTTTATTCTGATTACTGGCAAAACTGGTCCAAATGGCTCCTCCCATGCTATCCTCATATCAGAACGAACATTATCCAAAAGCAATGGCCAAATGAGATTTCCCTCCCTTTTGTATTCCTGGCAGAATGTTGCTCCTTTCTCCTTAGCATCCATTACCAATCCTTCAATGAAGTTAGCAGATGATTCTGTGACAACTGGTGTGACAACACAGTCATTCTCAGGAGGTCCAACAGTTAACTGTGCAACTTTATCATTGATTTTTTTAACAAGGGTGTTGGCAACGGATTCCATGACCAAAGCAACCTTTACAGCAGTGCATCTTTGACCACTGACATAAAATTTTTCACAGCATTTGTATTAGTATATTTAGGAGTACTGTTGTCATGGGAATTAATGCTGCCATGTTGTGAAAATTGTATTGTATAAATAAAGCAATTCCCACATTGAAGTTTTAAACTGGGGAATATATAAAAGCTCCACATAAAACTTGTATCCATTATCATTTGTAAGTGAAAAAAAAAAACATTCACCTTTAAGAAGATAGGTTATTTACATAAAATTTTACTAATCCTCTAGTGTTTTTCATAAAATATCTTTTTATTATTAGGTTTCTTAAAAAAAATAAAATACATATAATGGTAGGATCATTGTGCAGCCAAAGATAAAACATTAGTTAAAGTATTTTAACTAAAATATTATTGAATGAAGTAAAAGTAGTTAAATTTAATTATATTTAAGAAAAAAATGTTTCTCTTTCCTATTATGAAGAACAGAAGGATGTATCATATTAGTGGTGAAGGTATTAAGAATCTAAGTTATTAAATAAGGATATTTTGGTCAAGACATAATAACATTTTACTTCAATTAAATATTTCTTAATCTACGAATGTAAACCTTAAAAATCTAAAGATAATGGAATGGAGGTAACAGAATTTCTGTACACAAATCCAGGACTTAATGTTAAAGGAGTAATGAAGCAATATTTTAAAGTCTATTGTTGTTACCTGTAGGCGAAGCCTCCTTTTACAATGTTAGCAGCTACCAAATCCAAGTCTGCATCTTCAAGAACAATGCATGCATCTTTTCCACCGAGCTCCATTTGAAGAGGAACCATGCCAGCCTTCTTTGATATTGCTATTCCGGTGTCTCCACCAGTAAAACTGAGAATTTTTGTGAATTAGGTGGGAAAATTCCCAGTTGCAAATGCAATGACAAAACACTTCTCAACTAACCAAAAAATAACCAGATACTCGTCTATCTTCATAATTCGACGCAACATAACTCGAATTTTTCATTTTATTATCTTATAATTATAGTGTTGCAACTGAAGACTGATATAGCATGTCTCCAAACAAAAGATGAGACATGATGTATTTATCTAGCTTGAACATCTTGTTGGAAGTTGGAACTACATTTGCAAACTAGGAATCACATGAATTATTGCATAGAAAACATTATATGATAGAGGAGGACAACAATTACAATGTAGCAAAAGAAGTGCATATTACCTTATGCAGTTCACCCCCGGATGCATTGTAAGAAAGTCACCAATCTCAGAACCCTTTCCTGTGACACAGCTAATAAGACCTTCGGGGAAACCAGCCAAATGAAAACAATGCACCATATGTAGTGCAGCGACAGCACCCTGTAAAGATTAAGAGCAAAGCAAATTGTCTGACTCATAAAGCATTCAAAACATAGTCTGTCCTTGAGAATTAAATCATGGTAAAACTATAACTACTAATAACTGATAAGTATATGCTCTATAAATAGTTGCATACCTGAGTAGGGGGTTTAAGCACAACGGAGTTTCCAGCAATAAGTGCTGGGGCAATCTTTGAAACAGCCAGATTAACTGGGTAGTTAAAAGGTGGAATGGCTAAAACAACTCCAAGTGGAATCTGCACAAGGAAAATATCTCAAAATAATGCCTCATAGAGTCTAGCATATTGTTGAGATCACTTTTTTAGATCTCACTTTGGCAAGAGAAATGGTCAATATAGTCCTTATAAGGCTTGGATAATCCTCAACACATGGACAAGATATATGAACAATGTAGTCCTTGTAAGTTTTGTAAAGAGTTCCTAAATCTAAATCCTAAATGGTATTAAATTTTATCTTAGATCCAAGGTCACCTCTAACTGTCTAGTGGAATGTGATTCATCGTTACTTCTAGGTGAAAAAAATGGTAAGATTTTAGACATTGAAATGTGAGGGGAAAAGGAACAATAGTTAATGCTTGATGTTAAAGCCACCGTCTCTGAAAGTGACATGTCAAAATACCTTGGAAGAGAGACAGTATTTGGTTCTTTCATTGCCTGGAAAGCTATCAGAGACCAGAAATTTTCCTTCCCCAAGAATTCTCACACCTTCCTCAGCACAATATGACACCAAATCCCCTGATCTGACCACCTACATAAAAATCAAAGCATTGAAAGGAATGTGAAAGTGAAGACCAATCTCCTAAATGATAAAATCATGAAAGAAAAATAATAGGGGAGAATAAGGTCTTGAATTTGATAAAATTAGGCCAAATTTTCAAATTGTACATGTACATACTTCAGTTACAGCGTCTTTGGCTGGCTTTGCAATCTCCTTAACAAGGCACTCAGCAATAGGTGCTTTGTGTTCCTTCAGTATTGCTGCAGCCTTGTGAAGCAACTCTGCTCTTTTCCACAGTGGAGTCTTGGCCCATGATTTTTGAGCTGTTTTTGCTGAATTCATGACACTATTAACCTCTGCCTGAGTACAAGCTGTTTGAGATTCAATTAAAGGGAATCAATATCTCAAATTTACCACTTACAAACCTTAAAACAAAACTGAAAAAAAGGCACTACCATCATGATATATTAATCACGAATTCCAACAACCAAACATGAAAAACTAAATGATCACATAGGCGTGTTGTTAATTCTCTTTAAGTCAAAGTATTGGGTCAGAAACCAACAATTGAATTGGTATTGACATGGTTTTCATGTTGTGGGGGCAAACGGGTGTGCTAACAATACCTTGGACCTTGAAATCGGTTTTCCTAGTGGTGGGATTGATAATGGGAACAGATTTCCCAGAAGAGGACTTGTTCCAGTGGCCTTGTGCATAGTACTTGAAGACATCACCATCTATGATCTCTCCAAAGGTACCAGTGCCAGCCATAATGAACAAGTGATTCTATATGATTTGAGGTTTGAACTTAGAGTTACATGTGCATATATTTATATTGATGTTGATGTTCAGACAGAGTCAAGGAGCAGCTACGAATGTTGCTAACACTTTGTGCAAAGTCTAGTTCAGTCTTTGACCGATCAGTGTGCACTTCATGCAGTTTTGCAGGAATTAAAACAACAAATTTGAATGACAGTTAAATTTCAAATTTTGTGCATGAAATATAGGACATACCTCCTACTAATTTGTCGATGATGATGATGATATTCTTGGAAAATTCGTCTCGTGTTCAAGGTGTCATGTGGGAGGCAAACTATAATTCTTAATTTAGTGTTTTTAGTTATAATTGAAATTAAATATATAAATATTTTTTTCTGAATATTTTTAGCAATGAATATGAATATTAATATACTAATAATCTATTTAAATATCGTTACAATAGGTTTTAACCTATAGTGATTTATACTGTTTTAGTCCAATATTTATAATAATAATTTAAGTAAACTATACTACCAAATTTTGTATAAACTCGTTTTTTTTTAAATTACAGTTAATTTCCTTACATATAAACATGATGTAATGTTTTTTTTTTTTTGAAATTTCATCAAACCTGAATATAAACATAATTTATTTTAGGTTGGAGGCTGATTCATACATTACCAAATTTTAGTTATACTTGAATAACATCCACAATCATTGATTATTTTTATTCTAAGTTAAATATTCATATGTTAACATTGGTATTTAAAAAAAATTTATAAGGATGTATATCTAAATAAAGGTGTTTGCCTAACTTTTTCATTTACTTTAATAATTTTATCTAACAATTTCGTATTTTCATTCCACGCGCAACAAAAAACATATTTCGAAGAAAATTTGGTTAACCAAATTAAATTAGTGAATAAAAAATATTATAAAATGTAACAAAAATACAACTTCAAAATTTAATATCAACAAAATATTTATTTTTATACGATTTATTTATAATGGCATCTAATACTCTTTCACTTTATTTATACACATTTAAAGTTATATTATTTTAAGAGGAAATTATTTTTACTTTTCATCAGGTCATACTAAATAGTATTCATTTTTTTGTAGTTTGAAAATAAACATTCATCTCTATTATGTTTTTAATTCTTATTTAATTTTTAAATAGATGTGTATTATTCTTATATTTTTTTTTATATATAACAACTTAATATCTTTTATATTTTGAATCAAAAGACACATATTTCTTCTAATTATATTAAAAATATGATATAGACTAAGATTTAAATAAAAATAATAAAAAAATTAAAATTAAAGTTTTGAAATATAAAAATTAAAGTTTTGAAATATAAAAATTAAAGAATTTTTAAATAAAAATTTTAAAAATATAATTGTCACTTTATTAAAAATGTAACAGGTTAATTGAGTTTCATTTATTAAATATATAAGAGAGATAAATATTCAAAAATCATAGGGAATGGTAGTATATTTTCTTAAAATTACAAGAAATATAAATTTCTATTTTAAAACTAAAAAGACGCGTGTTTGTCATTCTAGTACAATTTTCTCTTATTTTAAATATGATTTTTACTGTCAATGAAAGATTAAATCATAAATTTCTGTTTTCATATTTTCAAGTTTGGTATCACAATTATATTCAAGTTTTTCTCTAAAGTTTTATTTCGTTATATCTTTTCTGGAAATAATGAAATAATGCATTAATTTTATTTTACAATGCAATTGTTCAACTAATGGTAATAATAGATTCACAGCATTCATTTGTAGGATTTTTCTTAATTAAGTTCTACTCCAAATTTTATTACAAAGGATTTTTTAAGAACAAATTTGATCTTCCAAATCACGTATACTCTCTTAATTTTTAGTTTGTTTGAGTTTTGGTTTCATGTTCCCTAACCAGTTTAGATTGTTAGTCTCTAACATGACGTCCCTTCATGCAAATTTTTACTTTTAAGAAAATATATTTTATTATTATTGTATAAAACGAATTTATTCATAAATTTACTGATTTTATTAACCTAATTATATCAAAATAAATTTGATTTAATTGATATGATAAATTTTTCAAGTATAATATAATCTATTAACGAAAACTTTTATACCAATGGACTAAACAAATTTTAACATAACTAATAATAACATAACATAAAAATAACAAAGTAAAAGGAAATTCATGATCATAAGAGTGAATGTATTTATTCATAGATCATGGACCAAACTACATGAAATGGCATCAAGGTTTGGCAAAGAAAATGTGTTGATTTTACATTCAAGAACAAGCAATCTGAGATGAAATAGGAGTGAATGCAAATTGTTGATCAGAAGCATAATTGAATTGGACAGCATCTCTGTAGATAGGTAGACCATTATTAAGAAGACAGCCACCGGATGAGACACTCAAAATTGAAGAGTCTATTTTTTCAACAGATTGAAATCCACTGCACTTCAAGATCACATTCAGTTGAACACATGCACAATTGTTGGTGACAGTCACTGTCCACTCAGGCTTTCCCTGCACTTGAACTCCGGTTTGTTTTTGGCTTATGGAGATATCACGGAAAGAGCATGCCCAACCTGACATCATCATCATCATCATCATCATCATCCATGGAAGAACTTAGGAATCCCAGTTTATAACAATTTTGCATTTCATATATACATTTCTCAGAAACTTTTACCTTGAGAACTGAGGGAAAGGAAGAGAATGATGATGCTGAGAATCTTGATGGTTGAATACGCCATTGTAGAGACTCCACTGCAAGTTTTTATTTTGAAATTCGTTTTGGATATCTGTAACACTGATATGCTGCATTATTTATAGATCCCAAATTACATTGTAAGCAATCTGAACTTACAGTAAAATACAAAACAGAAAAAAGTTGATGATTATGGAAACAATCTCAGTTAAGAAAAATCCATGGAATTTTTTATTTTTTTTTCTATAGCTATCTATTGATATAAAACATCATTTTCATAATTTTAAACCCTAAATTAATGTACATAAATAATATCATATCCCTTCTTATACCTCTTTATTGTAAAGTTTCATATCAATTAAATACATAAACTTTTTTTTCTAAAAACAAAAAACTATGTATATAAGTGAAATATATTATTTTCAAACCAATATTTTTATATTTACTATAGTTAAAAAAACAAAAATAAAAAAAGGTAGATATATGATTTTTTTTAATAGTCAATCTGACTTTATAAGAAAAGCAACAAATTATTATTATTTTAATTATTATAAGATATTGATTTACTGACTAAAAACATAAAATATAAAGAAACGATAGCATTTACACGATATGATTTTTGAATAGTTTGTATGATTTTATTAGGAGATCAATAAGTTAACTTTTATTTTCTGTATAAGGTATTATTTTAAAATATATTTTATTTATTACAAAAATATCAGAAAACTTCAAGGCAAGAGCAAAAAAATAATTTCAAAACGCATTCAGAAAATAATTTTTCGGATCTATCACTTCAAGAGCATTATCAAAATACGTGTGAAAAAGATAATTACTCAAAAAATATCTGTTATTCTAAAAAGTTAAATTAATTTTTTAAAACTATAATCTAAGATTTTATATATTCTTAAATAGAATAAAAGTCATACCTTTAATTTTAACCTGTCAAATATTTATTTTAATATTTATACATCTAAAATAAATTTATTCAAACTTAAAAAATTATTAAATCACAAAAATTATATACAATTTTTTTAAAAGAATCATAATATATTTTTTTAACAAAATTTAAAAGATTTTCTTTTTAAAAACCAGGACATTTCCAGACCCTCTTGACTCCACCCTAATGATAATATCCCTAGTGATAATGAGTTATTGTTGGAGATTTTTAACATAAGGAACAATCTACTTGTTGGCTTGAAAAAAAAATTGTTTCCATTGGACTAAGAATGTAATACCATACCTTGTATTGCTGACATACATAAGACACTCTATTTGGAGTTTACACGCAAAGTACTGGGAAAAGGTTGCATGAAGAAAATGAAAATTTCTTATATTTCAATACTGATCCATATATTTCAATGATTCCCCATTATTACTTTTTTTTTCTTGCTTCAAAAATCAAGAAAATATCTCAATTTTTCAAATCTTTATAGAAAAGAAACATCAAGATCGTTCTTGATAAATGATATTTATTAAATTGATATTATCCACGTCAGAGAGGTGTGATGAAATTATGAAAAGAGGCGTGATAATGAATTAATTATTAAATTGGTAAAAAAAAAAAAAAAAGAGCTTCAAAACCATTAATGTTTTAAATGTTTACATACCTCTCTTGCTAAAACAAAAGTTAGATCACGAAGAGGTACCATGTGGATTTACTCGTTTAATTCTTCTTGTAAAAACTGGTTGATGTCTAATGGTTCAAGTTGTAAATTAAGAGCTTTGGTTCAAGTTGCAAATTAAGAGCTGTGTGGTTTTTTTATATATATATATAATAGTAATTGTTCTAGTACATTCATGAGTCTTATATCGATTAAGAGTCAAGATCAATAATAGTTTATATACACTTTCCTCCCTTAACTCACCGATACGATTTTTTAAGACAAAATTATAACGGATGAGAGCTATAAATTTGACAATATCTCATATATACAAATTGACTTTAACGATATTGTCATACATACATAAGGTCAGGACACTCTTCGTCCTAGACAGGACAATCATCAATATTTATTTATAAAAAATATTGAAAAAAAAATATTTGAAAAAAAAAACTAAATTTGAATTGGCGAGTTTTATGCATGAAAAAGTAATTAACACTCTACAATGTTCATATATTTTAAGATGGTTAGATTTAATTAAATATCTTAAAATTATTTATTTCATTCCCTAAAATTAATTAATTTTTTTGTTATATATATAATATATAGATTTTTTAAACTTAAATATTATTATTATTAAAATAAAAGATAATATATTTTTAATGTTTTTTACTTATACGGTTAGAAAATAAGGTCTTCACATTAATTATTTTGAACATTTTACATTGATTGTTGAATAAATGTAAAAAGTAAGAGTTTTTACATCGATTGACAACCAATATAAAAATAGACGTATATAATATACTGTTATAAAAAGAACCAATGACATATGTCATTTTTTACATTGATTTTGGACTATAACTAATGTAGAAGGTGACATATTACACCAGTTCTTTTTATAATTTATGTTATATGTACATTTTATTTTAAATTAATATGTATAACACCTGTAAATGTCAATATTTTCACATATAATCATTAATGGAGTTTTATTTATTTTTTTATACTTTCAAACATAATACAACAAAAAAATATCAATACTAATATACAACATCAATGACAACTTTTTTATCCATTCTTAATAAAGTTTATCATATAATCAATATAAGAAATAAAAGTGATATACTTACCTAGTAAGTTGTCCGCAAGAGAGAGATGTGCGGTGACAATGACATGGAGAAATAGTAGCAATATCTTAAAGTAGAAAAAATTTTCGTCTTCATTTTTTTTTTCGTGTTAGGATGACTGCTAACAACTGAATAATTACTTAGTAACTTTGTTCCATTGTGGTGGTTAAACAATCTCTAGAAAGAAGGAGATTTAGAGAGAAGGAACTTTGAAAAGAAAAAACCTCAAAGATGATGAGCTTTAGAGAAAAAGGGTTTCCAAAAGGAGAAGCTTGAAGACAAGGATCTTCAGAGGATGAGAGGTTTGCGAGAGTGCAACATTGACAATAACATAACAAAGAGAAGAATTTTTAGAACAATAGTGAATAAATGAGAAGATGTGAAGTGATAGTATATAAATGACTTTCTACATCGGTTATTAATATAACCAATGTAGTATCTCCACATATAACATTGATTCCTTCTAGATACTACATCGGTTCTAAAAGAAACCGATGTTATATGTAAGATATTATATCCAATGTAGAAACTTTGTCAATTATTACAAAAATATTATTTTGTTTACATTTAAATCGATTATCACATAAACGATGTAGATAATAACACAATGTAAAAAAGATGATTTTGTATTAGTATTGATAAATATGTATATTTGTTCTTACGCTTTCCACAAAGTACATCTATCTATGATAAACTAGGCTACACAATCAAATTTTCCTAACCAAATGAACTATCAAATGCACCATGATTTCAAAAAATTAAGTGGAAAATATATTTCTAACTGACACAAGATTGTAATTACTTCATTTTCACTACAATAAAAAGTAGCTTTCGCGACGACACTTTAGATAGCGGTTAACAAAAATCGCCTTTAAAATTACATATTAGATAGCGGTTAGGATTAAAACGCTCTTTAAAGTATGTTTTAATAGCGATTCAGAAAGAACCACTTTCTAAAATAATTTATAATAGTGGTTGTGTGATATCCGCTATCTAATGTCATACCTTTGAAGAGCAGTTGACACGTGAAACTGCTATCAAAACTTTAGATATCGGTTATTTCGTGGAACCGTTATAATAAGTGTAGTTTAGATAGCGGTTATTTGGTGAACCGCTATCTAAAATCAAATTTTTTAAAAACCCTAATCTCTCTTTCTTCAATCTTGCACTCTCTGTTTCTGCGTTTTTTGCCGCTCTCTGCACTCTCCTTCTCGCTCTCTACGTCTTCCATTAAACTACAGGTACGTTCTCTCCTTCTTGCTCACTTTGTGCTCTCCCATTTTCTCTGGGTTCTCTCCATTTCCCTTTGTGTCTTCAATCTTTCTCATTCTCTTGCTCTCACTACTCAGTTGGATATTACAACTCCATTGAAGCATATTTGTGTCGCATTCCAATCTTCATTCGTCATTGTTGTTGTAGGACGCGCTTATTGGGAGGTCTACAATAGGTTAGTGCATTATATATTTTTTAGGCTTTTATTTTATTTATTATAGTATAATTATTTGAATTAATGTGATATTGGATACAATTTGCACCCCTATTTTGATTCCGATACATTTAGTTAAATTTTAGGGTGAGTGTGAATTAGAAATTACAATTTAAAATTAGTATTTTGATTGATTAATATCTTAGTTTTGTCTGAATTGTTTATTTTTGCCTACATTGTGATCCTGAAATTGTGTTTTGAAATAGAATATAGGCTAGTTAGGATATATATATGATTTAGTGTGACCTGAAATATTTTGTATTAGAGATTATGTATGATGTTTTTGCTTATAGTTTTAGTAATTTTAGATGCTTTCTAAATGGTATTATTATATATGAACTTGAGTGAACCTTTATTTTTCCATTTGAGTCTCTAAATAATGATTTAGGATCATTATTTTGAAACTCAAATTGTCCCAATTTGGACAGTTTGGAAAAAAAGTTTTCCTTGACCAATAATTATCTAAGTAGTTGATTAAACTGTTATTTTTGTTATAGTTGGTAAAATTTTGATTTGTTATTCATGTCATTGTCTCTTGGTGCATGGTTGAATGAGATTAATTTTACCAAATTCAAGTTGTTGACTAAGAGACTAATGCGAAATGCTGCCGAAATTTTATTAAGTATACAGTATAATGAACTCAGATGACTGTGGATATTACGTAGCCTTGTTCATTGGAGATGCACTACAACATGAACAAACTACTATTCCAGTTAACGTAAGAACCGTTTTTGCATTATGACTATGTTTATATGAAAGAATAATGTATTGTCATTATTTATCTAATTTGGAATTTAACTTTTGTGATTATTTTCTATCTATGTTTGCAGTA